ATAATTTGTTGCAATTGTCTCATTTAAAAAATCTAATGAATAAAAATTAGAAAAGAAATTGTTAGAAATGAAATTTTACAAAAATTTAAGTGAAATGTTGATAAAGATCGCTAAAATACATTGGATGAAGAGAAAAAAGTGATAAAGAATGAAAATTTGTAAAATCAACCAAGCCTTACTTTAAAATCTATTGGAAATAATTTTTCGATCGAGAAATATGAAGGAAACCTTGGTGGTTAGAAATTCGAACGCCAATGAATACGACGACACTGTAAATGATAAATTGACAATTCACGGATTTACTTTTTAGGAATTGGTTGATCAGGAAGGCAATCTTACTTCATAAAAATATGATAAATACAGATGGTCATCAGCACTCATTTTGGTTTTGTACCATGCTCTGTTATAAGTATGAAAAACATTCTTTATCTACAACTTTTTCCATCTCAAAGCCTTTCAGGCGAAATAGCCGAGTAGTTGAGGCTATTAGATTGTAGCAATAGGACCGGGATTGCTTGCAGTAGAAATAAACGCATCGTTAAAAAATCCATATGGTTGATTATCCCCCCATATTTCTATCGCTAAATGGCCCGGAAACTTTTCACCGAATTAACAGCAAATGCAGTGAGCTCGATGAGTGGCCATCTACCAGCTAAACAACTCTAAATGCATATGGCTTAATTATTAGATGGATGCTTTCATCTTCACATAATTTCTCAACATATTTTATCGTAATAATTTGTTTAGGAAATCATTATTTGCAGTTATATCCAATTAACAAATGCAGTTTTCCTTTTTTTTGATAGTTTTTTTATTTATTAGCGGAGGAGTTGTATCGCTTATCAATTTATCAGATTATCAGTTTGCTATTTTTTGTTTGCTCCTTGAAAGAAACTATTTGACGACAACAATATGAACAGAATATATGAAAAATTTTTTAGCAGTTTCCACTATAGGGTAAGTATAAAAGTAATTCATCACTAAAAACCGTCGAATATTTTGAAAAAGTAGTAAATATTTGATGACCTCAGAACAAGTCTCAATGTTAGCTATAGAAAGGAGCAACAGCTATCATTATGTACTTTCATTGCCACCAATTGTCGTTTTCTAGTTGATCGATGTGGTTACATCACAGCAAACACACATCAAACACACTTTGTGGTTCTTTTCACCACAAGTATTACTCAATTCTTATTCAACATTTCAGGGATTCAATAATTTTTAAAAATTTTAATTTTTACGAGCAAATTATCAAATTGATGATAAGCCAGAATTAATAATGAATAATTTCGATGATAGTACCAATCATGGTAGCTTATTTAATTTCTGATAAACATTTTTATCAGAAATTTTTTAACAATAGTTAGTTTATCAGTTCTGTTGGTTAATGAACCAAATTTTCTAGCATCATGACGAATCTTTGTGGATTAATCATCTTAAACTCTTTATCTACCGTGGCCACTAAAATTTCCACTTTTTTCTCCATACTGTGGTGACATTAAAGTAAAAGGATTGGCCTCGCTAGCCGGCCAACTATGAAAAAAACTGCAAAAAAATACCAAAACGAAATATTGCTTTCTTTCTTTTTATACCTTTTTTTCTGTACTCATCGTCAAAGTAAATAATTCTAAACCTACGAAGTCTAAGGAAATAAGACTAAAGGAGCGTTTTTGTGTAAAATGCAACTAATGGAAAATTTTCTTCATGTTTTATAAATATTTGAAAATTTCATAATGATAATAATAATGATAATATTAAATGATAATAATAATGATAATATTAAATAACAAATTTTTAATATTTCTTTCATTATATTTTTAAATATTTAGACAACAAAATTGAATCATATTTATCGAACTTTCCAAATTTCGCAAAACGTTATTGCATGAAACATTTCTTTTTCATGATGTTGGCCATTCCTCTTCTTCTATGAGGGATCCTTTTCTACACACATCACTTTTGGTTTGGCTGACTCCTTTGGCTACTAATATGCGACCAGGCCTCTCGACTATTTCTGAATAGCTTTGCAAATTTATCTTTCGCTTTAACAACAAAGAGTTTTCAAAAACTGGCTTCAACAATTCAGTGTCAGTGCTTTTCTTGCATTGATAAAATACTTCTAAAATACAATAAATATGTTTTCTAGAAAAAAGCTCCTCTCTTGTAATGCAATTCATACAACAAAACATTTTAAACATTGGTGCGTTAGACTGCTTTGTTTAGTGTATTAAAAAAGAATAAAGGGAAATTCCACTTTAAAAATCCTAAATCAATTTGTTTTCTTCTCAAATTAATAGAATCGATAGATCTTTCGGCATATCAAATAAAGTAACAAGAAACAAGTAAGCACCATTCAGCATTCCCGGCACATTCGCCGTTATAGGACGACAGACGACGCAGCCTTCTCAGAGAGTTGGCTGAGAATAGATATTAAAATGGGTTTTGATATCGACCGACAAATTGTGAAAATATTCACCAATTTCAATTAAATTGGCTAATTAAGCAAAGTTTTTTTTAAATGTAGAATGATAATATTTAATTAATAAATTTATAAATAAATTTTAAAAATTTTCAGAATTATTTTAAAACATTCGACTGATTAGTGAAAATTTAAAAAAAAAAAAATTAGCAGGAAATATTCTTCTGATATTTGATTTGGTTAAAATTTAATAACAATTATATAACCATAAACCATAACAACTGTTGTTTAATACATTAAAGTAAAACCCGAACATATCTTCTAATATGAAAACAAGCAACTGCCCAGGGCAATTAAACGATGAATTACCTGATGAATTAAAAGAAATAAAAAAGGGCTTTAAGAATTTTTGGATGGCGCTTAAAACTTACTTTTGCACACCCCCAAGCGACTTCCTGATAAGAGGATCCAACCCTGGTGAGAAAGTCCGGAAACGACGGATACCGTCAAAAGGGTAATTTATCCATACTTCTTCCCTGGTAATATAATATAAACCATTATCGTAATAAATGGCTCAATATTACTTTAATCTTTTCTTCCCTCTCAAAATCTAATAATTTTGAGGAGAATATAATGCAGTGGGGATGGAATGGCCTAGTGGGTTGTTGCTCGATTGGGAGCGCCGATGCTGAGGTTCGATTACCTGCAAGAGTGAACCTGTACAAAAATTCAGGTGACGCTGATACTCACCTGTATTTCTATCGCCAAGGGACTCTCTGGCATATTGCACAATGTGACAAGCCTGTGAAGCGGCTTTAACCAGTAATGGTGAGGACTTAAAAAAAAATACAAGACGAAAAAAAATCTCAAATCTCGAATAATCGATGAAAGACCAGGTTGCCGATTTCCATATTCTGAAACAAAACTGATTTGAGTCAGCCAGCAAGGCTAAAGCATCAGATATGATAAGGTAATGCGTTAAATAATGCTGTAAACACGCATCGAAACCGATACTCTTGTAAATTTCTTTATTTAAGACGAAAGCATGTGTCTGCTTCAAAATAATAAAGAAAATATTGTACGATCAAGGAAGAAGTATGGGCAAACAAAAGCTAAAATTTTTTTATTCTGATTTTATGAAATCGCAAAAATGTCATTTCGGATTTTAAATCATTTTTTAATCTTTAACATTTAGCAATTAACATCGATGGCAGATAGTATTTCAATATTTTCCTCATATTGAAGAATAGCTGACAATTTTTTCAAAAATTTTACAAAATTTTGCAACCTCTTAAATAGATTCGTTATTAAGGAAATGTGCAAAATAATCAAATAAAATATAAATAAATAACGAAAATTAATAACCTAATTAAAGTGATTAGATAATACAAATAAATAACGAAAATTAATAAGCTAACTAAAGTGATTAGATAATACACATAAATTTACAAAATTTCAATCCATAAGATTCCATTAGAATTTCGATTAAAGAATTCGAAAATATTTTAAAGAATTTACAATAAAATGCAATAAAAATAATAATTATGGCAGCAAAAAAGGAAAGAGATCATATTATATTATACATTATCCAAGTATAAAATCGATCTGATTACTATTTTCTGGAAAGGATACGGAAAATCGGCTTTAACTAAATGACTAAATTCGGAATTCGGAAAAATTCGGAAAATTTATAAATTCGGAAAAAGTAAAGAATTCTGACTAGTTCTTTTCTTTTGTTGTGGCGTATTGGAAACGCTTCCGCGAGTTCGTTTAGAACGAGCATTACTCGCTGGTCTGAAAAAATATTTGGCATTATATACGACACGGCTTTGAAGAAAAATAAAATAGAATATAAAATAAAAAAGTAAAAATAAAAGAAATATAAAAACATATAATATAAAAATATAAAAACAAACGAGTTTGATCCCGTAGTAGATCGTTTTCGTGTTATTCTTGGGGTTCTTGAACCGATATAAGGATTTCTTGATGATATAAAGCGAGGAACATATTTCCCACGTGTAGAGGTCATAATATTTGCACCTAATGTAACAATTAATGTGGCATATTTAACATAAAAACTGGTTAGCATTGTTTATCTAAATGTAAAACTGAGGAAGACTCCAACATGGATTAATACAAACATAAACTGCTGATATACGGGTTTAGACAGTGAAAAAAAGCGAATTTACTAATCCATCCCAGTTATAGAATTGGGAAGAAATAAGCTGTCAAATAAAGAAGATAAAACACTTCATTTTTCTAGCCAGTAAACCAATTAAAACTAAACTATTAACAAACGAAGAAGAATAATGCAAACGACAAACAGCGAAAATCAAACTGGTTGACATATTAGTTCTTATCTTTTTATATTCCATGCTTTTCTTCACCATAAATTAGAATGAAATCCCCTCAAATCCCCTCCCTTCTCTGGTGAATGCCTGCCAATTGAAAAGCCTATCTTGGACTCTTATAAGCCTTTGTCCATTTCCCTTTAAAATTTTAAAGTTCGTCTCAGGTTGGTGAAATTCAGTTGAGAACTTCAGTTGAGAACAGTTGAGAACATCAGTTGAGAACTTATCGCTTAATGGCTATTTGCTGTTGAAATAAAAATGCAATTAATAAAAGAAAACAAACCAAAATTTTTACTTATTGGTGAAGGTGTTGAAGTGATCGCCTGACTTGGAATAATTTGAAAACCCCCAACTTTATCATCATTAGCTTTCATATAGTTTAGTTGCCTTCGAATTTCATTTTCTTCACGCACTAAAATTTTTTCTAAATAGATTTAAAAACTTTGAAACTGCACACAAAAACGAAGACATTGTCCAACAACTTGGCATTCTTAAACCCTTTTCAACCTTGTTTTGAATTATTACTTCAAAGAAAAATAAATCAAATCCCATAAAAAAATAAGGTCAAGAAGCAATCGTTATTGGAAATATATCAAATACCATCAAGTTTCATCCAGAATTCTTTTAAAAGATTCATTATTTGAGGCCCAAATCGCTCAACTTTGCGGTTAGTCATTCCGTCAATTTGAAGCAGATCAGAATTTGTTCTCGGCATAAGTGCAGCAATTTGTTCAATACCTTCTAATCCAAGGATCGCCTGCAAATAATTTTATAATTTATAATAATTATGATTAATAAATCCATCAATACAATTTAATATAATAATGATTATAATTAATAAATTATTCACTGCAGTAAAAAAATTTTTACCTTAGAGAAGACTGAATGACAAATTAATGACAGTAATAAATTTCAAACTTATAAAATTTGCAGAACAGAAATAAAAAAGATCTAATGCAAAAGCTCATCATTCTATAAAAATTAGTTCTAAAGTTCTATAAAACTGGAACCATCGTAGAATAGAATAACCTACTTGGCCATTTAGCCCTTCATTATTCGCGATATTATTGATCAAAGTTAATAATTTTGCTCGACATTCTTTGAAGAGATCTGCATGCTTCACCATATATCTAGTGATAAAAATACTTTATTTATTAAGAAATCACAATTCTTGAAAAGAATTTAGATTTTAACCTTCACTACAGGCTAACTGCAAATAAGGTACCTATTAAATTTACTTGCGAGATCATTTTAAACTAAACGTTTTCCTTATTTCAATATACAAAACATCAGATCTCACTTTGAATATAACATTATCACCTTAGATACTCTAAACTGAAAAAGTTCAGAAATATTTTCAGAAATAAAATATTTCTTCTACTTTAAATCACAAATTACTTACAAGCTATAGCTAAGCTATAGCTCTATAATTTACAAAATTTGATATAAATAAAATAAAAATAATATTTCGATACATAAATCTTCAGCAAATATTATAATTTTGGATTCAATTCCAAATGTAACTTGAAGCAACGAGCTAAAATTTTTATTTAAATTGTTAATTGTTATTTATGACATAACCTAGATCTTTACAAACTTATTCCAGTTCCAACTGCTTCTCTCATATCTTTTTTTCTTATTTTTTATTCTTAGGTTACCTTCATTTTTTAAAAATAATATTGCAATAATTAGTAATTAGCAATAATTTCAATTTTTACTTATTAACTACTTTTTTCATATGTATTTAAATTATTCAAAGGCTTAGGCTTTTAACAAAGGCTTAGTCCAAGATAGGCTTTTCAATTGGCATAAATTATTATTTTTGAAGAACATGGCGATTGTTTTTCTTTTATTGGTTTTTTTTTTTAACTAAATGAATAAATAAATAAATATGTGTAAAGTAGAGATCAAACTGTCCAAAGCCAAAAATGTTTAAAAAAACGTAAGACGAAAGAGCAAAAAGAAAGAAAGAAAAATTAACTTCTCTTTTAATGCTTGCACTTCACTGACTGCAGTCATTTGTTGTAAAATTGCTATATCTGTAGCATTAACTGATTGGCGCCTATTGCCCGAAACCATAGAAATATGTAGATATATCTAAAAATAAATAAACCGCACTATATAGACTCGGGACAATTAATGAACAAATTTAAAAAGCAATCTTTAAACAAGTATTTTTTACAATGATAATCAAAGTTATTCGTTCATCATCATCATCATCATCATCAAGTTATTTGTTATTTTAAAACATTTTATTTATGTTATTATTTTAAAACAGTCTCGTATACTTCTAACGCATTCGATTACAAATTAACTTTTGTCTCTCTATAATGAGATAAAAGACATCGAAGGCGATGAAGCACTATCAAAGTCTGCACAGATATAGTCAGAAAAGGAATTGTAGCCAATCTAGTAACATATAAGTATATGCCGAGAAAAAGCACTAAATATTCTTTTTCTTTTAATTTCAGAAAGCACTTTATTCCTTAATTTAGTTAAAGTGAAAGCAGCAACGATTCGTGCTATTATAAAAGAAGAAAAAAAATTCACTATAAAAAACTAAACTGACTAGAAAAAATTAAACATATAACCTTCGTTCGAGTTTTATTGCTTACAAGATCTCGACCTTTCATAGTCGGTTCAACATAAGCGACAGTCGTATCGAATTTTGTATTATAAAGACGCTCTTCAATAAATCCATCAATAACTAATTTTCGCATTAATCGTAGTGCGTCCATTTCCTGCATTCCAGTACCTCTTCCATATAACGATAAATGCATATGACCAAAACGTACGGCCTAAATGAAAAATTAAGCGAAATTAGTAAATCAATATTCATTTTTTTCTATCTCTTTACTTTTTCATACAATCTTAAATGCTCATATTGTTTATCAATTTTCTTTATCAGTGAATAGAGGAATGAATCAAATTTTTTCCAATTAACAGATAAACATTTTCATGCTGATAAATCACCATATCGGAATTTTTTTTCTGACTCATTTGACCTCGATAAAGTTCGGCAAGATATCTGAGAGTAACATTTTGCATTTTTAACAATCCTTGTATGATGTGTTTCGCTTCTTCAGTTACATCGAACATTTTAAACGCATTCTAAAAAGTTTCGCTAACCAATTTTAATTGTGTTGAAAAAAAATAATGAAAAAAAATAAGCGAAAAGAAAAATCAAATATAGAAAGATAAAAAATGAAAGATAGAAGAGAATAAAAACCAAAAAATATAAAGAATATTCTTTTTCACTATCATCCATTAAATATATAAAATTATTTAAATACAAGTTAAAAATTATAATTATTAAAAATTATTATAAATATAACAAAATGAATAACTTTATTTCTGATTTGTTGCGTACAAACATCACATGGAGTCGCACCACTTTTACATGCTTCAGCATCGTAAACCTAAAGGTAAAGCCAAAAGTTTTCCCAAGTCTTTAGTTTTTCTGCTAAAAAATGATCAACAAAAATGAATAAAAAACAAAATTTCCGATTCTTGATAATTTTCAATAAATCATTTTTACCTCGCCAAAATGTTCAACGAGGATTTTTCGACGACACATTGAGACATTTTCACAGTAGGCCACAATTTGCATTATATTACTTAAGTGCATTGCTCGTACGCCGACTGTACTATTCTCCCCTGAGAGTAAGAACTGATTACACAAAATGAAGGCCAAGAACAATATAATTATTACTTATTATTACTAATAGCAAATGAAACCAAAGCCTCGACAGCTTTCTGTAAAATGTCTATCAATACTCAAAAGACTTTTTATTCAAAAAGTCTGGACGAAAATAAATTCAATTTTTCATAAATTTTTAAAAGTGAAAAAAAAGAAAAAACCTTCAATCATTTTTCGCAAACGAATTGAATCGTTATAACTGTAAAGTATTGCACAATATGATGTTAAGCCATCGCGACCGGCACGACCTGTTTCTTGATAATATCCCTCCAAAGATTTGGGAATACTAAAATTTACATTTACCTTTATCTTTACATTCTTTCATTTTAATTAAAAATTTGCCCTTTTTAAAAGATTTTCAATGTAAAAAAAACCTGAAATGTATGACGAAGCGAACATCAGGTTTATCAATTCCCATGCCGAAGGCTGGAAAAAAGCAATATTTATAAAATTATTGCTTTTAAAATTTATAAAATATCGTACCATGTAAAAAAATTTCCTTTACTCCCATTTTAATTAACTTTATGTTTTTATGTTTTTATATCACATTATTATTCATACTTAAAAAATTAATTAGCTTGATTAACCATGTTTTAAAAAACATTTACAACTTACACTTCAAAATTACACTTACTTTATTGATAAAATGAGAAGGAAAAAAGCTTTAAAGATCTGACCTATGGTTGCGCATATTACATCAATTTGATTATTAATCCATTTCGTCTGAACTTCCAATCGTTTCTTATCGGCAAGGCCGGCATGATAAACAGCCGTTGACAAACCTTGATTTTCTAGAGATTTTGAGACTAATTCACAATCTTTTCTGAAATATTTACAAAATACTTAAATTTTTATTAATTCTTAAATTTTTAGCTAATTGGCAAAAAGTAAATAATTTGAATTTAGAAGAATTTTAATTTGATTTGATATATGCGAAGAAAATTTAAAATTGTGGACCTTGAAAGACAGTAGACTATTCCAGATTTGCCAGGATATAAAGCCTTCATCCGATCCACCAGTTTAAATAAAGAGCGAGGTCCTTTCGGCATTACATCATATTTTAGATTTTCGCGTACGAAGCTACTTATAAAGCTAAAAAAAATAAGTGAAAAGCTGATCATTTTACTTCTTTCCTAGATATAATTTAATAATATAATCATTTCATAATAATAACAACTACTAATGAAATGATCACAAAAAAAAACAAGAAAATTTACAGTTTGCTGTTAGAAATGGATAAATGATCACAGGTATCGGTAACGATTTTTGGCGTTGCTGTCGCAGTAAGCGCCATTATTGGCACAAAAGGATTGTTGAAAATCTTCCTTAAAAAATATTTATTAATTTATTTAAATAATTTAAATTTAATCATCATGATATTAAATCGAAAAAATTTAACAATTTAAAATTTTTTAATTTCAATGAAAAAATATTAAACCGTTTTAAAATAAAAAATTATAATATAATAAAGTAAAAAATCACCTCAATGAATTAAGCTTCACGTAATCAGGTCTAAAATCATGTCCCCATTGAGAAACACAATGCGCTTCATCAACAACAAAACGTGAGAGAAGTCCTCTCCGATGTAACGATAAGAATATCGACATAATTCTTTCTGATGCTGCTATCTGATATACTGATTATTTAATTAAAGCAAAGTAATATTAAAATTTTGAACAAATCATTTCGTAAAATCAAAACTGCGTAATAAATTCTATAGACCAAAAAATCTTTATAAAATGCACTTTTTCTGGCGTTACATATAAAAGACTGATTTTTGGAGTGGATTCATTTAATAAACCATAAACTCTTTCGACTTCTGTCATGCTTAAATCACTTGTTAACGCGCAACAATTTATCTAAAATGAAGATTTCCTATCTTCAAAAAATTTTGGTACATTTAAAATAAAAATCAATTCAAATTTATCAAGGATTATTTTATTATCATTAAATTTTAAATCTTCACTGAATCATTCTTAAAAGCTTGCCTCAAGTTGCCTCAGTTTCATTTTTTGATCTTCTATAAGCGATTTCAATGGAGAAATTACGACAGTGATTCCATTCGAAATAACAGCTGGCAACTGATAACACAGACTTTTACCAGCTCCTTTTAAAAAATATAGTGAATAAAAATTTAAATTGCAATATTTTATAAATATAGTGAATAAAAATTTAAATTGCAAATTCTTAATATACCACAAATGCCGTAAAAATATTTAGAACAAAGTTTGATATTAGAATAACCTGTCGGCATTAGAATAAACGTATCATATCCAAGTAGAGCAGCTACAATAGCTTGCTTCTGCCTATGTCTGAAGTGACTGAATCCAAATTTGCTTTTTAATACAAAGTACAATTCATTTTTTTTTTCTTCACCAAGCAATGTTACTTAAAGATAAATTATAAGAAATTAAGAAATTACATTCAGATATTGTATTAAAAAAAAGGATAAAAAACTGAAATTATAAAAAAAAGACCTTCGTCATCGAAGAAACTTCCGTCGTCCTGCAGTAGCCCACGAAATTGCCCATGCATATCTTAAAATAAAATTTATAAAGGACTGAAAAAAGATTTACGAACATAAATAAATATAAATATGCGAACATAAAATATAAAAAATTAAAAATGGAAACATTAAATATCTTTTAGTTCAGCATAAAATAAATCTTTGATTAAGAATAAAAATTCTTCAAAAAAATATGAAAAATTATCTCATGAAAAACAAAGAACATGTACCATGGACAACAACAAATAGCTTACTCACCATATCGCTCTTTCGCAGAATCAAACAATAAATGATTTTCTTCTTCCGCATTTTCTTTATCAAATAAATTTGAAGGACCAGCAGATTCTTCCTGATGGAATGTTTCAATAAAAAATTCTCCATATATACATACAATAAACAAAATAACGAAAAGAAAAACCAGAGACAATAAGCCTTACCACATCATCAGTAAAATCGTCGAGTGAGCCATTATCGAAATCCTCTTTGTGCGTATATGCTTGATTAGTTTCTTGCAATAAATTTGCGGGCACAAATTTGGAATCACTGAATTTGTGACAAAATAATTAATGTTGCAGCGTTCGAAAAATAATAAATAAATTAATAAATCAAAATAATTCAATTGCTAATTAATTACTAATTACAAACTTTTTAGGAGATGTTTCTGCAATAATCGGTTGATCACCATTTGGTAAATTCTTTGTTTCATTACTAACCTGCAAAGAATATGATGAATATTTCTTGATTCAGAAAACTTCAAAGTTTTGAACAAAAAAAGAAGAATTGAAGGATTTTCTTTAGAACCATTTGTAGCTGACTATTGTTAAGCAGCTAAAACTAATCCCAGAAAAATTTTAGATAATTTTAGATAAGCAGAAATTCCTTTCCAAATTTATAACAATACATAGAATTCTAATAATGATGAAGAAAATATTCAGTTTCATTCATAGACAAAAAATCGGCAAATTTGTATCTCTACTCCTAAAAAGCTTCTCTGAAAAAAGAGAATTCCAATTCCATCATTCCAATGCCCTCGTGCAAGTGGTCAGTAAAGCGAAAAAATGAGATTTGCTGATGCCAGAACAAATCGCAAAAACATTACTTCATCAATTATTATATCGCTGGGAGAGTCGATAAAATTAATATCATCCTCATCCGAATTAAAAACTGTTTCAAGAGTAGCTGCAGTTAACTGCGATGAATCCTTCAATTTCGATATATCAAATTTTATATTTTCTCCATTATGACTGCTTTCCAGTTGCTCCTTAAATTTAAGTTATATTTAGTACAAATACAATAAAATAAAAAAAATAATCAAAAATCAACCTGAAGTTCTTCTTCTTTTATACTGCTGCGTGAATTTTCTTTAGATTCTTCTCCATTAAATTCGTTATTGTTCGATAAATTTTCAGGTAAATGAGCAGAATTACAACACTATAAAAAATTTTACTAAAATACATGAAATATGTCAAAAATGCTTTAATCAATACGAAAGCAACAAATCGTTATATATTTAAGCAAAAATTTAATTCAGAGAACTAAAAAAATTTCGACAATAATTTGATGAAAAATAAGTTTAAAGGAAAATCAATTGAAAAAAATTTGATTAGTATTCAATAAAAATAATAAAAATGAATTACATAAAAATTTGGTATTTTAAAATTTTCAGAAATTTCCACAAATTTATAATTTCCAAATTGAATTCTTTCACGACATTTCATTGAATTATATATCGACGAATTATTCATCGCTTAAGCCCACGAATTCGTCTGAAACAATTTCTTATCACTTAGAGATATTCTTAAAAAATATCACTTATCTTATCACTTAGAGATATTTTTTAAGAAGTAAAAATCTGGCCATATTTTTATTAAATTAAATATTCTCGTAATTAAATATATTTAAACTAAATATTTTTGCTTATTTATTTAAGCCACGAGTTTAACGAGGTTAATAGAAAAAAATGATAAGAGATAAAATATCTGCTAAGGCAATTTATTCGGCTTATTTTTAAAATTCAGCAGAAGCAAAAGCCACTTCAGATAGTAGTTTATCGCAGGAATTTACAAAGAATAAGTGAAAACAATAATTTAACAGAACAGTAAGCAAATTTAGTCGTTAGGCAGTTTATTGGAACAATTAATCGTACCAGGTAGTAAAGAAGTTCCACAAACGGGTTTTAATAGTTTTAGTCCGCTAAACCACTCTCAACGCTCACATAAGGCAGAAATGAATTTCTCGCGTGTTTTACTATTTAAAATACGTTTCAAAAATAATTAAAGCAATTTTGCAAATCAAACACGGAATATCTCAAATATCTCTTTTATTTATTTAATATTTACTACAAAAAATATTTAAAAATCAGAAAATAAAATTCAAATTTCGTGGCTGAAGCTGAAAGTTAGCTGTGCGAAAATGCAGTTTCGGCGTGTTTTCCACTTATGCATTCGGAGTACGAATCGAGTGATCGTAAACCAAATGAGTTGAGAGTGGTTTTGGTGTATTTTTATTTTGTTTGGAATGGATGGCTGTGTTATTTAACTAAATTTATCCAAATTCCCCTTCAAATATTCTTATTAAAGTAAGTTAATTCCCTTTTTTGGGCCAATTTTTCTTTATTATTTTAATTTCAATTCTTTTAATTTCAATAATTTATTATCATCGAAACAATGCATTTTTACAACCTTTTTTCTATAAATTATTTTAATATAATCGACGTGGAAATAATTCTCCTTTTTATTTTATTTTTCTTCTCATTTTTATTTTATTTTATAGAATTTCTATTTTCCGATTTTTATTATATTCGTACAATTATTAATTATTATTTTTTCATTCCTTCAATTATTTATATAAATTTTTGTTGTTTCATTTTCATTTATTTATTTTATTTTTTATTTATTAAAAGTAATTAATAATTTAGAATTACAATAAATTTTCAGTGGAAATTATTCGCTAAAATCAAAACCATAAAAGCTTTGAATCAAATTTACATTCGCAATAATTTTAAATTAATTCGCAATGAATTTATCGGACAAATTGGATAATCGTTCGTTTATTTTTCATTATTTGCTGTTCTGCTTTATTTTTTTTAATTTGCTTATCATTTTGCTGAAAATTATTAGATTTTCTCAGTTAACCCTTACAGTATTATACAATGTTAATGAAAATGCGTTAAAACTTTATCTAAATTCAGTTTCTATTTCGAGTGAGACGGAAAATATGTTCAGTCGTATTATGGCTAATGAAGATGTTTTTTATCGCTCCGAGCAACGTGATACTCCTGATTTGACTGTTCAGCAGAAAAGGTTCTCTTCTGATTTCATAGAGCTGAATTGTTCACCGAATGATTTAATATGAAAAAAAGAGAAGTAATAAAATCTTCAATGCAAGTGATATAATAATTAATAATATTAGTACTTTTAGGAAAATTATAAGTTTTTTTGTAATTTATATTTCACAAACGTTACAGAGATATTCTCAAGGAACTCTACCAAAAGAATCCTATTTTATTCATCAGCAGATATTATAAGTATTTAATAACGGATGATTTCCATTGTTTTGACATGGATAATTATGAAATATCGATGTATATGAATATCATTAAAGATCGGTTAAATACGAATAAGGTTTTGTTTATTAACTTTGGAAAATTATTACATAAAAATTAAAAAAATTATTTGTCATAAAGTTAGAGATTTTATAGCATTAGCATTTTTGTGAAATTTGCCTATAATTTGCTAATTTAGAAAAGTTGGAAAGCCTAAAAACTGTTTTGTAGCAGTCTTTAGAAATTTTTCATTCATTTTAAAGTTCATAAATTTTTCATTCATGTAAGTGTGCGTATATAAAAAATCTTAGACGAATATAAGATATAAGTAAATCATAGGTTAATAAAAGATGTAAATAAATGTAAGAGTCGATCATTTTCTAGTATATATGCGTGTATATGCTACGTCATTTGCGTTGTCATTGAGATGTTTTGTATAGAAAATTCGTTGGCATTATTCGTAGCCAAAATTTACAGATTCATTACTTATGTTTAAATTTTCAGTTTCGAAGGGATTTTTGATATCTTGTTTTATACCTTTCCGAAGCGATTTTTGAAATTGTCTTTAGAAGATTTATGCATAGGAATATAATTGGTTCTTTACTTATATTTCTTATTTGCCTATGATTTTTAGTGGATGCACACATGCATTATTTGAAATGTTTTCTGGCATTTCAGTCCATTTTTGGAAATTCGGAATTTTTCTGAGAATGTGAAATAATCCTGCAGTTATATTTTTTTCGCCTTTTTTTAGAATATTATGGTACGAAATCGTCGTTATGCAGAACTGATACGATTAAAAAAAGAAACTGATTATTTTTCAAACAGTAAAATGCGAGAAAGGGAACCTATTTTATTTGATAAAATGATTGGAAAATTTTTGCCTGAAGAAGGTCAGAAAATTACTTATTTAAACTTTTTTAAATTTTTATTTAAAAATTCTAAAATTTTAAAATCACTTCTTTTCTTGCCATACTTTCATATTTACATACTATAATTACATCATACTTTCCTTTCCCTCTATGAGTGATTTCATTTTTTCCAACTCTATAAAAATTTTTAGAGTTTACAAGTTTATTTTAGTTTATTCCCAGTTTTTTTTTACGAAGGAAATAGTACTGAATACGAACACCACGTTTTCTCTATGCGTATATTTGCAGAACAAAGTCACTTACGACCAACTGTTCACGACGAAAAATTCTCAAGTATTCTTCTGCGATTGAGTGAGAAAGATTGCAATAATTCAGAAACAAGTGATAGGGTAAATTTTTGACCAAATAATTTCTGTTCTCATTATTTTTCTGGATAAAATAATGCCTTTTTAAGGCTAATGCTGTGGAATTTATTATGATATGCAATATTTTATTTTCCTGTTATTGAAAATCCAGAAAGGGCTGCAGAAATTTCATGAGAATTCCAAATTGCAAATTATTTTTAAGAATTGTTAAAAAATTTTTAAGATTAAGTTGAATCTAATTTTAAGTTTAGTTCATCAGTAAATCAAAAGACATCTGTGATGATGAAGAATTCGGTAGTCTTGCAAAACATGCTAAAAGTCGCTTGGATAATTATGATAAAAATTCGCAATCTCATAACAGTTCCATGGAATTTGATAGTGGTGATGATATTAAGCAATACTGGGATGATGATGATGATGATGATAAAGCTGAACTTGAAAAAGAGTTCATAGACTATATGGAACAAAGATTTCTTACTGGTATATTTTTTATTTTTAATATTCAACTGGGATGATGGGGGGAAGAGGACATGTATTGGACATGGTTGGTTGATTATTATGTTGAAAGGCAAACATTCGGCCTGGCAAAGAAAAAACCGTTTTAAAGAGTCTCTGGTGTTGGAACTTTTAGTCAAAAAAAGGTGAATTATTTGGCGAAAATCATTAACAATGATTTAATCATTAACAATTTTTGACTGTTCTATTAAGATATAATTATCAAATATGGAACTTTATAACTTGAAAGTTTTCAGGTAAAGATGGATTATTCGTTAATTACGATTTGATTGATGGTCAACAGTTGAATAAAGAATTCGAGAAATTACGTGAACGTGATTTAGAAGATGCCTATTTCAGCGAAGATTGATTTTAATATTTTTTTTTAACAACTTTTATTATCAATATTAATCTCTCAACTTTGTGAAACGGGTTTATTTAAAAGCTTCGCATGTTCTATATCACGATTTTTTAAAAATAATTTGCGACCCTATATAAATTTGGTTTTGGAATATTTTTTGGTGAAAATTTTAGTATTCTGGTCTTTGAAACGCATCTTCTTAATTCTTAGACCTCGTAATAAAAAACAACTGAAGAAAAGATGGGTAAAGTTTCAGTGTTTGTGGTGAAAAAATATCGTTTTTTGATATCGTGGATCTTGCGCGTAAGTCTGCTTGACAGCATAATGAATAAAGCTTTTCTCATTCAAACAGTCGCTCTGATATGCATTATTTTATAATTTCCAGCAGTATACATCTTTATTCCTCTTCTCAATCACATAAAATATTTGTCCATCCCTCTTTCTTCCGTTTTCCAACGTTTAGACTCAGCGATTTCCACAGCTGCACCTGGTTAAGCCAATATTTGATTCCCTCCCAAACAAAAGCGCAAGCCTGTCGACTGCTGCTTCTGAATACGCGCCAGCAATCCACGTTTGCCGTCACCCCTCAGCTGACACCTCCATATATGTATACCATCTTTCACAGTTCTTGCGCCATCAGACTTTGGTTTATCGACCGTTCAGTTAATTTCCTCCACCTTAGAGGTGATTCTACACATAAAACCAAAATTAAATTGTCGCTTCACCCCTCTCTAACATTCCCTTCCATCGTAAGATTTGGGCAAAATATAATTTCTAATATCTTAAGAAGCTGAGTTTTAGTATGGGGGGCTGTATTTTAGTGTAGGCACCAAATTACGTGACATATTTTTGGATTGGAACTTTTAGTAGGGTGGGGGTTTTCCCTGCGATGTCTTTTGCTGTCCAATTCAGAAATACCGCATCGATCCGCTTTCATGTTTTACATTTGTTTAGTAAATCAGATTCTAATAGCTTTTTTTCTATATTTATGTTTGTATTTGTTATTTTATTTTTCACAAAATAATAACGAAATTAGTGAAAATTGTTTTGGATCTTCGAAAGGTTTCTTTGAACATCGTTGTAGCGATTGTATTTTCGCCTTTTTGCACGGAAACAATGGTTGTCTGCGATAAAATAGGTTAATTTATCGATTGAAAACCATTTAAATAAAGAAAAATTTTTTATAAATTAAAAACTTTACGATCGAATGGCGATATTTGTAATATTTCTCACGGGAAATGTTTCCTTCCCCGTAGGCAAATCGCATGTAATTCGCGCAGAATGTTTTTTGTATTATTTATAATGGAAAATTATTTAAATATATTTTTTACGGAATTTATTTAATTCATTTATCCACACAAAATAAATTAAATATTCTTAACGAATTGGCGATTTTTGATTTTTAGATATATTTTATTTTTTCTAGTCCACCCATTTTATCTAAAAGGAATGCGCTATTTCGGGCTTGGCTGGCTTCACTAATTGTCGGGCTTAGCCTCGTTGGCCAAGCGAAGAGAAATACGGCACTGATAACTCGTCAGCCAATCACTAGGAGTACTGTTAATTGAAGGTGTTAATTGTTAATTTTTTTTCGTAAATTGTTAGATGCTGTTTGCCATTAGTTTAACTGATAAATCAAGTTTAAAATGGATTTGCTGTACGAAACAAGTTTCGAAACTCATCAAAATTCTTCAGGGATGTTGTCATTCTCGATTGATTTGATTTATTTTGGTCAGTGAAACGAATTGTTGCTATTAATCTTTCTGAAATGCATGAATTTTAGATAATACACCTTTTTTTAATTTCATTTTTTCAAGTTATGTTCCGTAAAATATTTTTTTTGCTTTGTTTATTATTTGTAAATACAATTTTTCAGGTTGTTTGTAGAAATTTTAAGGTGTTTTTTGTATAGAAAAAATATGAAAAAACAAACAAAATTAGGCATTGAAGTTTCAAAAAGTGAAAATTACTCGGAATGGTACTCACAGGTTTAATTTTAATTTTATTTTTATGATCTTATTTATCGTATTTTTTGGCCATCGATTTTTGTCATTCTTTTTTTTTTCAATTTTTCCCTCGAAAACTGAATATTTTTTTGAATTTTCATAATTTCTTAACTTCGGTTTTGAATTTAAAACCATTTTCAATTTTTTCTAATTTTTTCTGAAGCATTATTCAAATTAAGAAAATTTATTCTTTAAAATGTTCTTTAAAATGTTGAATACATCAGTTATTATTAAAAAATTACCGTATTAATCGTTGAATTTTTTTTAAATTGATTTTTTTAAATTTTTTGGATTTTTCAATTGGTTTTAAAGAAAAAAATTTCAAGGTGATAACGAAAGCAGAAATGATTGAATATTATGACGTGTCTGGATGTTACGTTTTGCGTCCTTGGGCTTATTCCATATGGGAAGATATACAAAATTTTTTTGATGCTGCAATAAAAAAATTAGGCGTACAGAATTGCTATTTTCCGATGTTTGTATCGAAAAGTGCTTTGGAACGTGAAAAATCTCATATAGCTGATTTCGCACCTGAAGCAAGTATTTATCCATTTACATTTTTTTTTTGAATCCATGGATTTTTTTAATTCGCTCATTTTTTAAATACTTTATTTGATTAGGTAAATATTTTAAATAATTTATATCACTTTTTACTTAAAGGTTGCTTGGGTTACAAAAGCTGGGAATTCGGAAATGGCCGAGCCTATAGCTATTCGTCCAACGAGTGAGACGGTAATGTATCCAAGCTATGCGAAATGGGTACAATCCCATCGTGATTTACCTATTCGTCTTAATCAGTGGTGTAATGTTGTGGTATGATTTTATTATTACTGTTTTGATATGCCTTTTCTTTTGCATTGTTACTATTTGTACTTTATTGTTAACTTCGTTAAATTCCAAAATCTGTTCAAAATTTGTTCAAAATTTTCTCATCTTTTTCCAGTTGAAATTATTTTCTAATGCATGTATGTATAAAAAATTGCAAAGAAAACAATCCATGTACCATAGTTTTAGAAAAAAATAAAATTATTTTTCCAGCGCTGGGAATTTAAGCATCCAACGCCATTTTTACGTACGAGGGAATTTCTGTGGCAAGAAGGGCATACAGCATTTCAACATAAGGCAGAAGCAGAACGTGAGGTGTATGAAATATTAGATATTTACGAAGAAATTTATGTTAAACTCTTGGCGATTCCTGTTATAAAAGGACGCAAAAGTGAAAAGGAGAAATTTGCTGGTGGCGACTATACAACTACTGTTGAAGCTTATGTCCCAGTTAATGGTCGTGGGATACAAGTATGTTAATTTATCTATAAATAATTTGAGGAATATATACTGTAAATTGCCCTTGACAAATTGAGAGATGTTTAGGGTGCAACTTCTCATCATCTTGGACAAAATTTTTCAAAGATGTTTGATATTTCTTTCGAAGATCCTGATGGCGGTGGAAAAGTTTATGTGTGGCAGAATAGTTGGGGCTTATCCACACGAACAATAGGCGCAGTGGTCATGATTCATGGTGATGATAATGGGTTAGTGTTGCCTCCTAGGATAGCAGCTATCCAGGTTAAGCCTTTACATTTCTTATCATTTAATTTACTATTATTACATCTAGTAATTTTTGGTGTTTTTATATTTCTTTTTACTATTATTACATCTAGTAATTTTTGGTGTTTTTATATTTCTTTGTCTTGAAATAAGTTATTTTATTTGCTTTTGAGGATACTGTAAAATATTTGATTTTTCTTATAATGTAATATGATGTATGATGTATGTAATACATCATAAATATTTTACAGGCAATTGTTATACCGGTAGGAATTGTTGCAAACACAAGTGTTGAAAATAAAACTAAATTGTTAAATATGGCGAAAGAAATCACAACATTGCTATGTGACGTTGAAATTCGTGCTGAATCGGACTGTAGAGATAATTATTCTCCAGGATGGAAGTTTAATCACTGGGAATTAAAAGGCGTACCCATAAGAATAGAAATTGGACCGAGAGATTTGTCGAATGATCAGGTTTTTTCTTTAATTTTTTTTTCGAAAAAATGAGGGGGTATTGAAGAATTCATTGTAAGTGTAAATTCATTTTTTTCATCATATTGTAGGTAACAGTTGTAATAAGGCATTCGGGTGAAAAGCGAGCGATATCCCTAAGAGATATTGTGCGAATGTGTCAACAATTGTTGGAGGAAATTCATTTTGCTATGTTCAATAAGTTAGTTTATTATGTACAATTTACCAAAGTACCAAAATCTTTAATAAAAAACTTTTAGAAATTAAAATATTTGAAATAATTGTAGAATACTAATGGCAAGAGAGGCACATACAAAAATCACTAATGAATGGAATGAATTTAAAGACTTACTTGATCAGAAATATATTTTATTATCGCCTTTTTGTGGAAAGATTGAATGCGAGGATCTAATAAAGAATGAAAGCGCTCGTGAAACCACTGGAGAAATTGGAACAGCTGCTATGGGTGCTAAAACATTATGCATTCCTCTTCAGCAAGTTAGTCAATTCTTTTATTATCCTTATTGTCATATGTTTATAATACATTATTATATTTAGAATATATTAATTATTATTATTAGAATATATTAGAATATATTATGGCTTTATTATTTTCATATTCCTTATCCAGCCTAAATTTCTTTTTTCATCTTTTTAAAGAAAACTAGAAATTGGTAGAAACTTAAATTGTAGTAGAACTTCTTTTTCCTCGTAAATTTTACCTTTTTAGAAACTATATATTTGAGAAGACAAGCTTTAACATTATTTAACATTATTTCACTTTGAATATGTTAATTTCAGCCTAACTCTCCATTGCCTGATCGATGTATACATCCAAAATGTTTTCAAAAACCAGAGTTCTTTGCCTTATTTGGGCGAAGTTATTGATTCCTGTTGCAAGTGGTGATATTTTATAGTAATATACTATTATAATATTTATTAATCGTCTTTGTTGATTTTATTTAATCAACAAGGAGGGTGGATTTTCTGGACTTCTCGGATTCATTTTTAATTGCAAAGTTCCGATGGCAAATTATATTAAGATATCTATAAATTTTGATTTTTCTTTGCTTGTTATCTATTTGCATAATTCGCATGTTGATTTTTTCTTCTTATTTTTCTATAATTTTTATAAGAATATATTCGTAATTATATATACATTTTCTGTAGTTCTCTATAATATATCTCTTTAATAGCCACAAATTTTTTAAATTTCTTTACTCATTTTATTTAATATATTCTATATATTTTAATATATTTTAATGAATTACATATATTTATTTTTTCTTCATTGTTTTAATAACTGAAAATATAAAATTTGATTTATTTGATTTTGCTGTTTTATAATGCGTTCCTGAATTCAACTTTGTTTAAATAATTATTTTTTTGACAAGTTTTCGTTTATTTTATTCGTGATAACGCAGAGAAAAATCGTGTAAACAAACAATATTTGATAAGAAAATCAAATTTCGATGACAACTATAAAAATTCACTTATCTATAGAGGTATTTATTATATGTGAATTAAAACGAATATCCATCGCGAAATCATTCATAATTTTATTTCCAGCGTTTTTAACATTTGAATCATTTGCTTTTGGATAGTTTTTATTTGAGATGTCTGACAATGAAATCAATGAAGAAGCTCATGAAAAATTAATCGAAAATATACAAAAAATTGGTTCAAAAAATAAGCGAAATTCTATTAAATTGAAGAAACACAATGCAAAAATTGGTATCAACGATTTGCTTCAAGTGATTCATTCCACGAAGTATGTTCTTTCCTTCATGAACATCGAATGTCTAATAGGAAAGTGCCGTTGTAGATATTTAGCCAAATGGGACTTTCCAGGTTTTGAGAAGAAGAAAAGAAATAGAATACGGGAAGAACTGGTTTTTTATAAAATAAAAACTGTTAACAAATTTTGTTTTAAAGAGTTCGAAAAGCTTTTATACACTAAATACTAGAGATTTAGAATTTTTTTTAGGAATATAGACATCGTCAGAAAAGAACTGAGAAATAAAAAGAAGTCAAAAGTTGCGCAGGAAAATAAAACTCTTTCAACACCACTCCATAGACAGTTACGTGATCGAATCGAAGGCGATGCTGCTTACTCACAAATAAGGTTTTATTAATTTTTATTATTAATATCCTTGTCGAGTTTGGAATGCGTTTTAAGACCGTTTTTAATTAACAGTAATATTAAGGCAAGAATTCGATGAATGGGTTCCATTAGTAAAACAGAATAGATTGGCTGAACAATTAGTTTTCCCACTAAATTCGGACGAAATTTTCAACGACAATGCAAATCAGCGCCTTGAATCTTTCACGGTAAATAATTATTTGTACGCATATTTCACCCAATTATTTATTTCAATCTTTTGGTGTTCAAGTTGAGCATCGGTAAGTTCTGCTTGATTGCGAAGGGACAATAATCGTTTCATATTGTCACTTTTTCCCGCAAAAGGTTGTTCAAAGTTGGTCAAATGCAATAAATTAAATATCAATAAACTTACGCTATAATTATAATTTGTGTTGTACCACTTTCTTTGTTTTACTCTTTGTTTTACATCCCACTGAAATAAATTTTTATTGAAAAGGATTAAAGGGATTAATAAGAGGAGAAATTCTCAGCTTTTAATATTTATTCTTCAAAAATACTATCTACTGTATTATTTCAGCCGCGAACTCCTCTCGAAAAGGAAATGGATAAGCTTTTATCAACAAGCAAAAGTAATTTAACCAATGATGTTACTTACACTGAAGCAGAACTTGAAATTTTACGTGCAATGAATTTGGATGAAGTAAATATTCCTTGGATATTTCATTAAGCTCAATCATCTTTTAAGATTTTTATTACTTTTCTTATACCATTAAATTCTTATTTCAAATTTTGAATGAAAAAATTGTTTTAAACAATTAAGTAAGTTTATAAAAGCTGCGAACTGGTCGTTAACCAAAGAAAAAAACATATGTAATAAATTTTTAGAATCGTTTCTTTATTTTTAAATTTTATGTATCCAACTTATTTTATCATCGATTTATCTTAAATTTTATTTGTTACTTTAATCTGCAATCTTTTTTTTTTTAAATCAGTTTAGATGCGAGCGAAATGCGCTCAGTTGCGAAAAATGCGAGCACTTCTTGGTTATCATCAGGCGAAACTAAAGCGACAGTCAAAGATTAAAAGCAAATCGTTAATTAAATTTTTTTCAATATCTTTTATTTTTAAATTTTATTCCAAATCCACCTTTATATCGCGTCCATTCCTCATACTTATTTTCCTCCAGTTATCATCGACATATGAGACTGCGCAAGCATAAACAATTAATAAAGGAATTCGATGAACTTCTTGTAAAAGATCCAGAAAAAGCAAAAGAAAAATTGGTTGAAATTGAACGGCAACGAATCAGGGTTAACCATTTATCAAAGATTATTTGAAAGTAGCATGTGGTAGCATGTTTTGCAGTATTTTATTTTTTTTAAAATTATTGCAAAATTACTATTTAGTTTGTTTTTCAGTGACTATTTCTTTTCTTCCATTAATTAATTTTAATTTAAAGGAACGTGCAACGTTAAAACATCGTAATGGTAGCAAGAAAATTCAGCAATTATCTAGATATGCGAGCAGAAATCCTGAAGTGAAACGATTTTTCGAAGAGCAGATTAGATTGGGACGAACACTGACTGAAAAGCATGGTGGCGGTGGGATATCTGATACTGACGAATCAGATGATGATAATAATAATAAGAAATTGTCCAGTCATGATTTGCTGCAGGTATTTGATAATCAGATGATTAAGGTGGCAAAATTATTTGCATTATTTTTGTGAAAATAGAAAAAACCTTATTGAATTAATTTTCATCACAGGGCATCAAATTTTCTTATAAATGGTGAAGCTTTTACTGTTTTCTTGTTTTTTGATTTCGACACTATTAAGCGAGCAGCAGATCTAGTTGAACGTAAGGAACGAATTGAAACAATGTCAACGAATCCACATTTAAAAGATCGTCTCAAAGAAATGCGAGAAGAAAAGAAGCAACACTCTGCGAAACTGCTTGGAAATATGGATTTGCAAGAAAAACTGGTAAAATGCTTTTGATTTGATTTGCTAAAATGGTATAAATTGTAATAAATTTAAAAATACTGAATTTGAAATTATTTCTGCCCGAATTTTATTTTAAATCAATTTGTATTCTATATGTCATTGATATTATGTTTTGAAGTGTTCAGGAAGATTCAAATAGTACGAAGATGGCTGAATCGATCCCAAAAACAAAGCAATGGGAGGAAAACGATATATGGGATGATAACCAATCCAATCAAGTGTTAAATGCAGAAACAACTTCACAGAATCTTGAGAAAAATGATGAAACGAATAATGGTGAAACTTCCAAGGAAGTTAAAAGTTCTAATGTCAAGAGGAAGCAGAAGAAATTAGGCAAATCGAAAAAGAATTCATCAAAAAAGTCCAAAAGAAATTCCGCTAAAAAAGTGAAAACTGAACATAAAAACATGTCAGAACCAGAACGCAATGGAAAATCATCTGAAGCTTCAGTGCAAAAGGCAAGAAACTTCGATTTTTTCGCAAATTGGTGAAAGTCAAAGGTTTCGCATAGCTCAATTGAAATGTTACTAAGATTTAATAAATATTTTTTTATCTACAAATGCTATTTAGAAGAAAATTTTAAATTCATTTCTTAATATTTTTATTGTAAAAAGGCCTTTTAATTTTAAAGGAAGCAAATGTTTCAGGTAAAACGAAAAAGCGTTGCTTTTGCTCAGACAGTTGATCAAATTTTTGATAATATCGAGAATAAATTATTGCGAAAAAAGGTTGTTTTTGTTTTAATTTTGTTTAGATTTTTTTTCGTATTATTTCCTTTATAGGAAAATTTATTCTTTATTCACATATAAATACCTATAAAAATAAAATTAAACTATTGCATGTTATTTATTTAGTTGAGAGATTTTATCTACTGAGGTAATCTTTATTTCGACAGCAACTTTCATTTCACAAATAGCGAAGCGTCGAAGTCGATTAATGAGCTGGTGAAATCCCAGTGAAATCATTTTTGACATCTTGATAAGACATCTTCATCTGGGCAAACTGATCAACATTGCGAAGTGTTATTGGAGCTCGATAAAATAAATAAAAATTTATGATATGCTGTTATGCCTTTTATAATTCGATAAATTTTAGATAGACAGATGGTTCATCTGATTTATTCTCTTAAGATTTCTTTATAAATTTATTTAGTGTTTACTTCTCTCATTTGTAGTCCAAAAAGAAGAAAAAAAAAAGTGGATGTGGTGCTTTAGATGCATTTACGAGTGTTGCGAGCAATGTTGGGAAAAGGAAAGGTAAAAAAAGACTTAAAATTTCTATGCACAAAAATATATATTTAATTTCAAGGCTGGATGTCGATTATGTGACAAATTTAAAATTTGATGATTTTTGAATCAAATTTGGATTCCATCAAACTTTTGCCTTTCCCTTCTATTTCAGTGGAAAATTTTGAATTTATCTATTTTAAGCCAATTTGGTACCAACAAAAGAGTCGCCACAAAATAGTACCAATATCGATCATAAAGAAGCTGACATATCTTTGGACCCAAAGCATTTTTTACAAGTGGAAACTAACAAAATACTTCAAATACCTGGCGAACTTGTCGATAAAATGGACGAAATTGATGGTAAAAAATTTTCATGTTTATTCTTTCCTTTGTTTCAGTTGTACAAGATGTAATATTGTAGCAGAAATGGAACAAGAAGTTATTGCCGAAGCTTTCAAGGATGATGATCTTATTGCGGATTTCGCGATGGATAAAGCAGCTACAGAAGAAGCCGAAAAACCGAAAGATATCGATTTGACATTGCAAGGTTGGGGTTCATGGACGGGTCCAGGCATTGAACATAATAAAAAAAATGATCGGTTAGTGATTCCATTTGTTTTAACATTTTTCAACACTTTTTCGAAGTTTTTTCAAAAATATTTGGAATATTCATCGAAGTTTTTTACAGATTCGTAATTAAAGCAGCTGAACAAAAGCGCAAAGATCGTGGAATGGCTGGTGTTATTATCTCAGAAGCGATTGACAAATCAATAGAAAAATTACAACCGAATTCTGTTAGAGAATATTGTCATTTTTTATCTTAAAATTCAAGCGATTAGTCAAAATGTGGAAATTCAAATATTTTATATGAAAAAAAAACTAAATTAATATTTTTAATTTATATTGTTAATAACATTCATTCATTTATTTAATATTCATTTACTTATTAATTTATTTTCGATATTTAGGTGCCATTCCCTTACACGACTGTCAAAGATTATGAAGCCGTATTGCGACAGCCTATTGGTAAAGAGTGGAATCCACAAAGGGTTTTTAAGAATTTGATCAGGCCTGCTATTCGAATAAAAGTATGAGGTTTTTCAAGTACGATGTATTTTTTACTTTAATTTATAAAAATTTTTTCCTTGTCCGTTTTTTAGGCTGGCAAGATAATTAAGCCGATGAAGAAATCAGTCTTGCTAGAAAATCGAGTAAATGGTTCTATAGAACTTGGCAAGAAACGCCATAAACCCAAGTGATTTATTGCCATTACTTTCATACTTTTATTTATACTGTTATTACTTTCATACTGTTAAACTTTTATTAAACTTGTGTATTATTATATGCTATGATGAACTCTTTAAATTTTTGATTCCCAGATCGTAAAAACTATTCATGTTGGGATTTACTTTGATTTTTAAAGAAACTACTGAACAGTTATGTTCTAGATAAATTTCATTGAAATATTATTGGTTAAGAATTGAGTTTGTTAAGAAAGCATTAAATATTGATTAAATTAAATGAAGGCATTTTCATCCACGGAACGTTGCTTTCGCTGGTTAGTCCTTCGTTACCCATTACGGGAATTGGTGCATATTTCATTATTTGATAAACTTTGTGGTAGATGGCGTCCAATCAAGACCTGGACTGATACAATTAGGAAAGATTTTGAATAGGGTGATATTATGAGGGATATTATGGGCTTAGACGACGGGAAAAGTAATGGCTTCTATTAATATTAATGTTGGAGATGGTGTCAGACCGAACAGTTTGAAAACATCTTACCCTTATAGCCAATAATGATGAGAGTTCTTAGAAGACAAATGCAGAAAAATTTATCAGTTTTTGCATAACAATAAAAAATAAAATAGCTGAATGAAAAGAATTGAATACAATAAATAAATGTATAAATCTATACATAATCAAATAACTGTTGTTAAAAGGCTTCAATCTCCTATCTCCTCTACAATCTCACAATAATCTTGGCTATCTCGGCTGAAATCCTAGAAAATCAAAATAGGCAACTAACTAGTAAGTCCATGATTTTCAGAGCCACAAATCGTAAACGTAATTCCGAACTTAAGCAAAGTTTTATTTCTACAAATTCCAATTTATAATTTGTATACAAATTTAAATTTTCTCTAGTTTATGAGTTTAGAAGTTTTTGGTGTCATTAGAATTTGTGAGGCAAAGAATTCGTAAAGGCATTCACTACAGTGGTTCTCTTATCAAAAGTATTGTCCCTTTATTATCGCAGTATTTTTAGCTATACTCGTCCACGATACTGCAAGTTTGGCTTCGTCACTATCTTATTTATGCATTTGTGCATTTTTTATTGCGAAGTTTATTTTGATATACTGGCTGAAAGAAATCATCTAAGATATAAAAATTTGTCGATTGAATAGTAGAATGCTATCTTCGGCGCGATCTAAATAGGATCGATTTCTGTCCGATCCTTTCTTGTAGCAAAGTTGGTGGTGTTAACTGGCTAAAGGCAAAAACTTACAAAAGCATGTATCAAATATCAAATATCAAATATTACGCATAACGACGTCTATGCTCTGGTTTCTTTCGCATATTTCGATTCCCATTAAGTTCCGTAAGATATGTGTCGGTGTTAATCCTTGGGGTGGTCAGCACTGATAATATTGGTACTTAACCTAATTGGTGCTAAATAAATAAGTCACTAAATAAATCATAATATAGGAGTGTTCTAGATCGAGGAGCATCGCCAAAATAAGGCTATTCATGAAGATCATTTAAAAATACATAGACTAGTTATCGTAATGCTTAAAAATTAAACTTTGCGCTGATTTTCAGGATCTTGATAAGAGATAACCGTGATAAAGTGATAATCAAAATGTAGTTTTTTTAATGCAATAAAATTAATTGCAATTACAGCCTGCTGCTACATTGAAATATTCGAGATGAAATTCCTTTAATTTATTTACAATAAAATAAAAAAGAAAGAAGATTGCGAAGATTGCCAGCATCAGTTTCTTCATGGAAGTGCTAACTTTAAGTGATATATTTACAGGATTTTATTTGACCGAATCAAAAATATCCCTTAATTCCAATGTTTTATACAATTTGTCGATATCCTGAAATCATTAATTGCCCAAATATTCGCAATTAATGTTTAAGTTTCATGAACTTATAGATAATCGTGATAATAAAAAGCTAGCTACGATTCGGCGAGAGCAAATGGATCCTCAGGACCACTTGGGTTTGTTTTTTAATGCTAAGGTTTACTCTCGTCGAGAGGGGGCAAAGAGATATTTAAATTAATGGTCTAAACAATATAGCAATGCTCGAACAAAACGAACTACTTGCGTGACAAATTACGAAGAACTTTCAGTGGAACTTTAAATAAAAATATTGAAAAACAACCTTTAATTCACTAATCCACAAACCTTTAATTCACTAATCCACACTTTCCTATTTTCAACTCGTCGTTTCTTTGCCTTTTTGGTATTTTCAACTGATAATTTCCTTTTATCGCGAGATGATTGCGCGAATTTTTCTTCGAACTTAAATTTTAATTCAGTTTCAAATTTTAGAAAATTCTTTTATTTATTTCCTAAATTCTTACTATTTTAGAATATTTTCTAAAATTTTTGAGCTAAGCGAGAAAAATTTTGGAGTTTATAAAGCATTCTACTTTTTTTCTACTTTTTTTTTTTCAAGAGTCCTCACTATTACTGGTTAAACTCGCTCCACTGGCTTGTCGCAGTTGAGCAATATGCCAGGGAGTCCCTTAGCGATAGAAATACAAGTCATCACCTGGATTTTTGTACAAGTTTACTCCTGCGGGGAATCGAACTACAGTCTCGGCGCTCCCAATTGAGCAACAACCCACTGAGCCACTCTACTAATCGAGCTTAATAACCTAGTAGTTCGGCATTTCAACCGAACAGCTTATCCTAGTGCACTTACTGATAAAATCACTTGAGGAAATTATGTAGCTCAAAAGAAGTGAAAAGCAACTTGTTCAAAAGTGTTTTCTTTATTGAATCCAAGAATATCATCGATATCAAATGGTTCCCTTATAAAGCGGTTTCGACGATGAAGAAACTGTGAACGATGTGGTTTCTTTTCCTTTAATTATGCTTCATTCTTTTATTTGATAATTTACCAATAAATTTACAAGAATTATAGCAAAAAATGCATAAATTTAAATAAATGAAATGAGTTTATACATTTGCTTCAATTTGATTATTCTTAGCGAAATTCATTAATTCCTCCGTTTTCTTCTTTCCACTGTATTTTTTAGTCGTTTCATTATTTTCGTTACTTCCAAGTACCTCAAATAAGAAACATATTTTAAAGAAACCTGTTGAGTGGCTCGTTTGCTCTAAAATTTATTGGATTTAAAATAACTTCTTGTGTACATTTTTGGTACTTTGGTACTGGTACGCTGCACTTATCGTTAAAATAAAATATGTCCAACTTAATATTGAGTTATTTGGGGATAGGAGTAGAGATGGGTAGCTAACTAATGCTATCCGAATCTGTATACTTATATTTATGTTGCTTAACTACTGTAGGTCAAAATTGATGTGTTATAATATGCGAATATAATGCGGAACCTTTCGAGTTCGATTTCCACTACCTTCAAAGATTTTCGACAAATCATTCACTTTGCGAACATTTTGATCCTTTTTATCAACACTCTTTGCATCAACTGATGTTTTAATATCTGAAGGACGATTAAGAGATTCATTCGTTTTACTGTCAGATTCAGTTGTTTCACCAGTTTTCATCGCTGGAATTTTAAATATTTTCGATAACAAATAACATTAAAATACTAAAAAAACTGGTAAATTCCTCAATGGTGACGAATATTTGTTGAATTTCAGAAGATATCAAAATATCTTTCAAAGTGTTTTCGATTCTATAAAATTTTTCTAAGAATATTTTAATTATTTTTCGAGTAAGAAAAATGCGATACATTTCGTTGCTTGTTTAGTAGCCATTTCCTTAGATTTCTGCTGATTTGTTGATAAACTTGGTTCAAAATTTTTCGAAGTACTGGTTTTTTGTTTTTCTGCAGCTTGCTTTGTATTAGATGAATTGGAGAGGGGAATAGAAGCTACTGACATTGTTGGTTTATCGATCACTTTTGGTGCCTCTTTTGGCGTTACCGTAGTTGGCTTATTTTGGTTTACTAAATATCATTGTATTAACCAAATTAAAATAAGATTTGAGCATTAAATGACTTACAAATTATAAAAAAAATTCAAATGAATAAGAATTTTTCAAAAAATATATGCAAAAATAGTTGTTTGGCCAAATTTTGCGCGAATTTAAATATCATTCGGCAAATTAAACCGCTAATTAGCGATGATTTCACAAAATTTGCAATTTTTTCCAATGAAAATCCTTTAAGAAAGTTCTAAAATCATTAGCTTTTATCTTATTTTAGCTTATTCGCGCTTCATTCTTAGTAAATTTACATTGTCACCAATGTTTCTTTAAATCTCTAAAAATTTAAAACCTTTCCTTGTCGTAATTTTTGCTTCATTAGCAACAGTTGGCGATATTTTCTTATCGTTTTCCACTCGTTTCGTTGTTGGAATCGCTTTTTTCGTAGTATAAATTTGCTCATTCTGCATTCATTTTATTGAAGCTCGCAATTTTTAGCAAATTTTTAAAATACATTTGAATTTTCTAATTGCTTTTTTTTAATATATGAAAAAATAAAACAAACTAAGAAATAATTTTTAAAAATATTTAGATAAATAAAATTTGAGTAAATAAAAATTAAATATGAAACGAACAATTTCTTGTACTTCTTTTTCTTTTTTATCAGTTGGAAACTTCGTCGCACGATTTTCTTTCCATTTTTGACAGTTATCTTCTACTTTACTGAAAAATTTCCAGTAATTATTGCTAAAATTGCTTTAAAATATTTCTTTTGGTTTTGATAAATTTGATGTTAAAATCAACTTTCACCTGAAAAACAATAAAAATTCAGTAAAAACCTATTATTTTTTTAAAAGAATTAAATACTTAATACTTCCAAAGAACCTGAAAAGCTGTGATGCTTCATCCATAAGAGATTTATGCTTTTCTTCAAGAATATTGCGTTTAGCCTCACCAGCAACATTACTTATACCTTTTTTCAAATCAGCAACTTTTGAACTCAAATTTTGATTTCCTGCTTTGATTGATTCACGGATTTCTTTCATCTTAATGAAAAAAAGAGGTATTGGAACAATCAAAATGCTTATTTAAAGTTATATTTGATAACTAACTTGTTTATCAAAGCTATCATCAATTACAGGTTTAATTATTGGGCCATAAGTTCGCTTTGGTTTATTTTCATCTAAATTGGTCAATCGTGTTGATCGTTTATATCTAAAATTGTTAATTTACAAAAGAGAATAAAAGGCCAAAATAAAAGATAAAAATAAATATTTAAAAATGAAGAAACATATGAATTAACGTGAAAACGTTTGGTTCACAAATAAACTGATTCAAAAAATATTTTAGTAGGGAAATAGTCAAAACAATAATTACGATAATCATTAAAATCTGAATTAATCCGCTTGATTTTTAAAAATTTTTCTAAAAATTAAATTTGCAAAAATTGGCAAAAATTAGATGAAAATTTGGTAAAACGCTCAAAGAATATTTAAAATTTTCACGGATAAAAAATCGACTTCTGGGAAATTTTAAAGGATTTTTTTTTTCTATTCATCGAACATTGATTTCAGAAATTTTATTAAATAATGATAAAACAAAATAAGGAAAATTTTTAATTAATTAATTAATTCAGTGAATATACTAACACGTATTTCTCTTGTTGTGGTTCATTAAATTGGTTCATTAACGAAAAAACTTTTCCTTCCTTACGCGATTCATTTTTCATTCGCTCCTTAAGGCCATTTTATTACTGACAGAAAAGGAGAAATTCTGCATAAAAATGCCAGAATACATGCACAATGAATGGTGTTCCAAATTGCGATGTTGGGAAAGATTTCGGCTCAGTCGAGGTTTTAATTTTATATTATCCACTCTGCCAGGTTATATGCTCTGCTTCTTTGTAAATGCTTCTTATTTTAATTTTAGTTATTCATTCCTAATTCTTATGAAGGTTGAGATCAAAAATTTGTTACTGATGTGACTATGGCTAACCACACAGTATGTAGAGCAATGGAATACTTCTACCACTAGTTTGACATATCTATTGAACTCGCACAAAATTCTAGCCAAATTTTCAATTTCAGATGCATAAGAATATTATTACCAAACAAATATTAGAGGAATGAAAAATCAACTATTGTTAATTACTTAATAATATGTTATTGTTGAATAACCTGTTCTCTTGCTGTCGCTTTTTTAGCATCCTCTTCAGACATATTTAAAACAGATTTTCTTGCAGCCGATTTGTCCTGGGAAATTTATTATTTTTAATGATTGCCATATATATTATGTGGTGGTTTTCTTCAGCGCAAAATTTCACTCCACAAGTAATAAATTTCTTTTCTCAAGAGAATTTCCCTTAATTATTTGCAGTTAATTTCAAGGTGATACATGAAAAATAAGGAAGAAAAACGGACTAGCACAGGCGAAGGTACTGATGAAATGCATGATTTGAATGATAACGGAGAATCTGATGAGTACATCGATGATCTAGAAATATGAATACTTATTTCTTTATTCTAATTTTTGGCAGTTGTTTATGTCACATTACTTTCTACTGATTGATGAATTTTGAATAAATATGACTTTGAATGTATTAAATTATCGCTGATTACTAAGATTAAATCGGCATTGAGGCGTTAAATTCTGGAAATGTGGATTGATGTTTAGCAATGCCGCAATTCAGTTGATGCTACACGCGAATGTATCAGTGAAATGACCATTTTTTAATGCATAAGACGAGGAGACTTAAGAGGAGACAAATCATAGAAGCCATCTAAGTGGTATGAATGAATGAAGGCAAAGTTGCGGATTTGATGAATGTTAAGAGCAAAAATCTGAATATTTCAGCGATATTGTGCTTCACATTGTTGAGCCAAGAAATTCAAATGCGTTCTATTCGCATGCATAAACTTTCTTAATTGCTTAAAAAACAAAACTTACTTGTCGTCGATTTTAATGTCAGCTGTTTCAGTTCTGGCAAAATCTAATTTCGTTGATTGCACAACTCCTTTCTTAGCGATATCCGAACACGGTTTGCTTTGTATAAACACCGATGCACGATCATCTTTTTGCGTTTCTTCCACTGGTTGCACATATGTCGCCACCTTATCAATATTTTTTTCTTTCTAAAAATTTTATTCCATCGAATAGAAAGAGCTGACTAATTTCCAAACGCTCTTGGATTCCTGCGTTCTTCCATGCAAACTTTCTGTTGCGAAACAAAGATGGAACAAAGATGAAAATAATTAACCAAATCTCCATCATGTTCTTTGGGATTAATTTCGATCGGTGATGGCTTATCATTGACATATAAATCATTCGCTTCATTTGCTTCATTTTCTTCAACCATTTCAACGGCAGATTGTACAACTTTTAGTGGTTTTAGTGAACTTGTAAATTTTTCTTCGTCTTTGGTTTCATCAGCCATCTTTTTCTGAAAATTCGTCGAAATATATACGTTCATGCAAAGATTAATTCTTGGCAAATCACATAATTAAATTAAACAGTCCGACACCAAATTTATAAAAAGCTTTTTACTGAAATCAGAACTTCATAAAATCAAATTTATGATTTAACAGCCTTTAATCAGCCAATATTTTGAAAATAATAAAAATTGTGATAATTAAGTGAAATTATGCCTTTTAACCTCATTCTTATTTTCATTTCTCAGGTTTTTGTCATCTTTTGCATTAAACAATTCTTCATCCTCGGCAGAAGATTCTTTTTCTTCGGTTTCCTCTTCCTCTTCTTCCTCTCCTTCTTCTTCTTCATCATCATCTTCTTCTTCTTCTGACTTTTCATCTTCGTCCCATTCAGATTCTTCTTCATAATATTCTTCATCTTCAACATACTGAAAAAATGCCGTTATAATACTAGTTAGAAATGGAACCATATCAAAAGGTTCTTACTTACTAAAGATTTTTTTTATCAAGCTTGTGATAAAAAAGCAAAGATAAATATTAAAGTGTTAATGAATATAAATGTTAAGATAAAGTTAAAGACAGAAGATAAACCTCAGAATCTTCATATGATTCGTCGTCAGTTAAAGTATCCTTCATAGCAGCTTTTTGTACTAGTTTTAATGTGCAACCAACATCGACCGTATCATGATATTGAATTCCATCATATTCCTTGAAAAAATGAATAAATTCAGAAAAATTCAGCTATAAAATAAATACGGAAAAAAGGTAAGGCAAAACTGATTGGAAAACACTCACATCATCACTTGTAAATGAGACAGGACTTAAGTAAATTCCAAGACCTGATGAAGTTGGTCGACTTCTTCGACTAGAATATCGCCCACCTGTAATTTATTTTGATAAGAAAGCCATACATAGTCGGTTATTGCAAACAATACGAAATACGAAATACATAAAATACGAAATATATAAAAAAATTACTGCTAATAGCATCATCATAATCCGATAACGATGCTACAGATCCTTCTTTTGCTGAATCCCAATCATCCATACCGTCATAACTAACAGAAGCTGTAAAAGTTGGTGCAGGTATTGCCATTTTTTGTGATACTCTTCCACGACTGTCGTCATTTCTCAAAAATTAAGTTGATATTTTCAATATTGTCATGTGTCTACAAATATTTCAGCCCGACATACATAATAATAGCCTTTTAGCTCAACGGAACGGTTAAGCTCTGCTTATCAGAGAAACGGGAAAAACAATATGGTAAGCAATATTCTCAGTGATCGTCTCATATATTAATTTAAAGAATAGAAAAATAGAATTTATATAAGCTAAATTTCCATTATATTTGTACCTTGAAAGAGCATCTACAAAGCGTAATTCAAAATCGCTTTCATAGTCGGTGAAAGGGGTGACTGAACGGTCTCGAGATGGAGATCGGGAACTTTTTACTGGATACAAATCACCTAAAAAATAAATCATCCATTGATATTTCTTTAACAGCTTAAAGTTATTCTCTCGCCTCAATGATCTTTATTTTTGTAATTAACCGAATTATTTCTTAGATGTATGCAGATGAATTTAGATGTAGAGAAATTCAAATTCAGCCATCTGCAGTCAGGTCTCTACTTACACCTGATTAATGGCCTTTTGCTGCTGGATAGGAGAGAAGTATGGCATGAAATAATTGCGAAACAGAGAAGAGCAAAAAGATCCAGTGTCGACAGTCGCAATGTCTATTAATACTTATTGGGACTGGGAAGAACTGAGTTAAATTTAAGAAGAGTTAATTGAGTTAATTTAAGTAAAATTTGGCTTTAACATAAAAAATTTTACGAAACTATGTTAAACTGAGTACTAGTACTGAGTACAAGTATTATAAGTATTCTCAGCCTGAATTTAAACATAAACCAAATTTAGATCTGATGTCTTGAAGTTACTGGGAAGTTAAGCCTATTTGCAAAAGCAAACCAAGAAACCATAAGAAATTTTCACTGGTACCATAAATTAAATTATCTTATGATGTAGCCATCGCTACATAGTTTTAAAAGAAAACTAATATTATTGATAACTTTATTTAAGGCATGGGTGTTGACATGAAATAATTTGAGCATTGTCTTCTTGGTCTTTTTTTTAAGAACTTTTGCCATTCTTGGTTAAACAACTCGATCAGCTTTACAAATTTTGCCAAGGAATCATTTATTAGTAGATAAGTGAGTCGCCCGCATCACCATAGAGTCTTTATTTAAGTAAATAAACCACATTTAACCATCTGCAGAGATGTCTGAATTTTTCTGCCTATTTTATTTTGCTTTAGTAATTTCTTAAGATCGCATAGATCTTGTTCCTCTTGTTTCTTTAAATTTAATATTTTTTTCCTTAAACTGAAAAATTTACTGCTTATCAAATCTTCTTTTAAAACTATGAAAAATTTCTCACGGACTAATAACAAGCAAGACGATTCTTTAGAAATCGTTGTATCATTTGGAAAATATATGATTAATAAAAACCTTTCGGTTTTCGATCCTTGGGAAAATCGCGATTCAGTGAAACCACCTCCGAAATTGAAGTTTCCATTTCCGAATCACTACTACCGTTATGAGCCACACAACTATCTATCATATCATCATTTTTGACTACTTTTTTCAAATCTTCGACGTTTTTGAAATATTCATATGTATTTTATACAGCAATAAAGGGCAAAAAATTTATTTCAAAGGACGAGGAAAAATGAGTAATGAACTTTGCTTGTCTTTCAAGAAAACAAAGTCTAATGGTTTTCTAGGTCGAAAAAAAATGGAAAATCAAGATAAATCTAAGGAAAGGCAAAGAGAATAAGATGTGCCTGGGAAAATTAAGTTGAAAAATAGGTCGAGAGAAAACGAGAGGACTAAGGCAACCGACTATAAATCGAAATACCGTAATCGCTGCATTCGGACGATTTGTTCGATTTTTGTAGAAGAATATTTGCTGTGAGCGTTGGAGAATTTCGTTTTGATAATGATGCTTGTGTGACCATTAATAATGGAACCCGCTGGGTTTTTTTAGGATTTATCTGCGAAATTAACATTATTTAATTTATAGTTGACAATTCAATATTTTTGATTGGTCTGACTTTTGGTTTAGTGCACCGACCAATATCAAACCAGTAGCCAACGTCAAGTCCCAATTACTACCGTGAAACACTCGTACCAGGGAACCGCTGGGGAATAGAGATGCAATTGGATTCTCAACAGCATCTTTTAACGACAGGTTCACCGTTTAAATTAGTTATACTAGAAATGACAATCTGAACAACAGGCGTAATTTAGGTGAAATTTTTGGCTTAAATGAATTTTTTGCATAGAAAAATTTAATTTTTTTAGAAATTTCATATTGTTTTAAAAGGATAATTCTTAATAATTATATTAATGATAAAAACTACCTCATCAATGGCAAATTCCTCGTCCTCTTCCTCCTCCTCCTCTTCTTCATCTTCCTCTTCTTCTTCATCTTCCTCTTCGTTTTCATCTTCCTCTTCGTCTTCATCTTCTTCCTCTTCGTCTTCATCTTCATATTCCTCCGAAAGTTCAGTTTCCCTATCGTCTGCTTGATTGCTATTTAATTTTTCTTCATTAATTGCTTTTTCTCTTTCCATCGTTTGCTCGTCAAGTTCCAATTTCTCCTTTCTCGCCTTACGAATGCAAATAAAAATTTTATCCCACGGAACCAATTATAAAGAACTATGAAAATGAAAATTACAAGTTATCTTGCAATTCAAAATATAATTTAAATCTGGAGCGATTAAAAGACCTGTAAAATGGGAGTTAACTGTGCAATCATGTTGTCCATTGTGCGATCACGTTTCGTAAACCGACGTGTCTCCCCAACTTTCTCGCCGTCTTTTGCTTCTGCTTTTTCTCCCTCTAAAAAATTTTTATTTAATTGCTTGAACTGTATTTTTTATCTATTTCATTCTATTTTGTACAGTGATAAAAAACAAAATAGCTTATAATTTGATATGCCGAACGATTTCTTTGAGGATTTTTGATAAAAAATCATTCCACTATGAACATCGTTTAGAATAATCAAAATTTCATGTATAAAAAGTAAAATAAGTCAACTAGTTTAATTCCGAATTTCTATACCTTTCGTCGATGCTGACTTCGTTATTTCAATGGATTTTGAACGATCGACATCCGACTGTAAATAGTTATGTGAATAGTTTTCAGAAAAAAAAGATTAAAGGATTCTATAAGTTGGTCGAGAGGAGAAATGCCTAAGAAAGAAATAAAAAGGATTGAATGGGAAGGAAAAAAATGCCAGCAAAAAAGTGAAAATTATACTTCTGGGTTTTTTTGAATCGTTGTTAACTGTGATATGAGCGAAGAATTCGACGAAGTAGCAGCCGGGCTTATACTCTTATTATCCAGTGAATTCGTCGTTTTATTAAATGGTGATGGTGACAAACTTTTCGACTTCAGATCATCAGCTAAAATTTTTCAGACGGACTGTCTTGAGTAACGTAAAGCGAACAGGATGGGTGACAAGAGTACCCTATAGTAAAAGAGGAATCCAGGTTGACTGCTGGAGACCTCTCTATACTTCCGTCACCAATAAAATGATAGGCTCTTCAAAATTATTTTTTTCATCAGAATTAGTTATGAATTTCAAAAATCTTAATAAATTTTGTTGTATTAAATAGTTGAGCAATAGTTTAGTATGAAAAGCGATAAAAATTTTTTTAGAAGAAATTCAACCATTTTGAAATATCGAATGCAGTTCGTTGTTTAACGGCGTTTTAATAGGAGTTTTGTCTCGATCATTTGACGATCGCGGTGTCTCCATTTTGTCATCCTCGAATATAAAATTACTTTTCGACTTCAAAAAAAGTTTCTAAGCGAAATATTGACGGGAAAAAAACCTCTCTTTTGCCATTTTTAGTTTCAAATGCTTCCGAAGTCTCTTCTGATTCATCGTCTGGCGACATTTCTTCCGCTTCGCTATGCGACACAAATTTTTTATGCTTTGCTGAAATAAATTATTTATTCATTCTATTTTTTGCTTTCATAAGTTTATTCATAAACACCCATTCTATTTATAAGATTTGTCCACAAATTTGCTTTAGCCAAGATTCGTGCCAACCTAATTTATCTCGGCTTCTATCATAGGCTCTTATCACAGAAATCAGCCGAATAAGAAATGGTATATACTGTTCGAAAAAATCTTTTTTAATTACCTAAATTATGATGGATTTAGTGATAACAAATGATAGCGACAATAAAAATTAGAAGTCAAAGCAATATAAATGAATCGAAGAAATAAAAAATAGAATAGAACGAAGAGAAGATAAAAAATTAATATTGAAACAAGGCTATAAAATTTTTTTTGCAATGATGTATCGTGAATGACTTGAAATTTCTTTCAAAACTGGAGATAAGTAGCAAGAAAGATCTTTTGGTAATTTCTTCCAGCAATTAGCACTTGGGACTTGAAAATCGTGGGACAAAATATTGGCCCTACAAATAGGCTTGTGCTTACGTCTTCAATCCGTTACCTCTTGCACCGTTAGAGTTCAAATTGAAATCATAGTAATTAGAATAGTTTAAGTGATATGGCCGAATAAAATCGTGTGATTTTTTATGGATTACTTATTATATTATTATTATATACCCAATATGTTGATCGAAACTGAATTTCTCATCAATTAGTAGGTCAAAATCTGGAAAATTACTTAAGTGGATCATTATAGTTATCATTATCTCTAGAAATGACAAGGAGATCGGAATCTTCGGCGTTTATGCATAAAATTTTACATTTATCTATCGATAATTTAATATCTGCCCTAGACCTAGGTAGCTATATTATTTAAACCTTCTTGAAGAGCATTCTCCAACCTACTATGCGACAAATAAATTTTAGTCATAAAATTTGCATATATTTGAGTTCAAAACAGTGTTATGTCATCGTTAATGTGCTTTTAAAAAAAGACCTATAGAACTTTGAGATTTGTACCAGACTTAACTACAATGTAATCAGATAGAAGTGTAGATAGAATGCTATTAAATGGGTCTGTAATTGCTTAAAGAATTCCAGCAAATGCAAAAAAAAGTTCGGCCAAGATTCAGTTTCATTTAAGATCGCTACCAGTGCATTATGCATCGAAAGCATTAGCATTACCACTAGCTAAGTCTAAATAAGCAGTTAAGACTGTGAGCACGATCAATGGACTATGGCCATAATGATTAGCTAGTGGTGGCCTAAGGAAACCGTTGAGATGGTATTATCAAATTGTTCGCATTATTTCCCGAAATATGAAATCAAAGGCTAATTTTGCAATTTGCAATTTAAGATTATTTTTAAAAAAAATAAAAAAATCGAAACAGACGAGTATTTTCAGCAAACTCGGCTTCCGATGTATCACAACTAGCGTCCCTCACATAACGATTATATAATTTTTCAAAAGTTTCTTCGACGTCATTCGAACCTTCTTTTTCCTAAAT